TTGCACGAATATATTCCAGCGTCTTTTTTCGCTAAAATTAACTGATATTTTTCTTGATATAGTTACGCAAACACGACTTATGAACAAGAAAAGGAAATCGCATTTAAAGATGTGGGTGAGCGAACAAAATGCGCCACGTTAAAGGCGTCCAGAAATTATCTCATCAGTTTCCGTTATCAGATTTCATAAGATAGGTCACGTACTGTCGGTTAGTTCGGAGGGGCCTTAGAGATGATACAAAAAGCTTCGTTGGGGTCCACACTACTCCACACTACAACTTGCCCCAGAATAGCGCTAGTTATGCTCCTAATTTCAGACCTCCCCCTCCTCCTCCTCCTCCTCCTCCTCCTCCTCCTCTCAAGCCATCGCCGCGTGGAACTACCAGGGGTCACACAACAATAACCAGGATTTCAACCAACACAACAGACATTTCGAGGCTGGCACGGCCGAAGCCGCACCTAGGCGTGCCGCCGTCGCCTGGCTCGGATACCACACTGTGGTGAGAGTGCCATAGAGGCCACATTAAGAAGGAGCTATTGCAGTCTGACTCTCAGACCACCACCGCTCGAGAAGGAGGTCAAAGTTATCCCGTCAGTTGGCAACCTTCCAAGCCACGGCTTTTAGCGCACTGTGGTAGCTTCAAGCACGTCAGATTGTTTATAGTGAGGATAGGTGTGCTGAGTCGTCGACCTCACTCTCCCTTCCCATTCCCACACCACAGCCGCTGTCCGAGCCGGTCAGCAGACTGCAGTGGGGAGTGGGCGCGGTGGCTGGCATGATTGACTGACCATGCTTGCGTGCGCCACAGCACGACCTGGCCCCCCATACACACGCACACACCAGGATTTCACACAACGGAGGTTTAACGGCGGGTCTCTCACTTGCGTGAGAGGGCCGCTAAAGGTGCTGTTTCAGCCCGTCTCTCAGCCCACCAGTCCGCCACTCCACATAACACACACACACACACACACACACACACACACACACACACACACACACACGACACGACACGACAGTTCGACCGTCGATTTCGACGATGTCCACCGTGTGCCCCACAGCTGCAGCAGCAGTGGGAGCAGGGACGGTGACTTACGCAGGGGTTTATAGTGTCAGTAGACTTGCGTAGCATCTACGTACACTCTCTCCTCCTCCCCCGCCTGGGCCCGGTGTCAAGACAGAGTCAAGAAGACCGGAGACGAGGGAGGCCGCAGGTGGATGGCTCGGACGGATCCTCACCCTGGCGTTCCACCACACCCCCTGGTCCACACAACAATAACCAGGATTTCAACTTACACCACAAGGATTTGGAGGCTGGCACGGCCGAAGCCGCACCTGGGCGTGCCGCCAACGCCTGGCTCGGATCCCACACTGTGGTGAGAGCGCCATAAAGGCCACATTAAAAAGGAGCCATTGCAGCCTGACTCTCAGACCGTCTCCAGTGAAGGAGGAGGTCCAAGGTACCCCGTCAGTTGGCAACCTTCCAAGCCACGGCTTTTAGCGCACCGTGATAGCTTCAAGCGCGTCAGATTGATTATAGTGAGGAAAATGCGCTGAGTCGTCGACCTAACTCTCCCTTCCCATTCCCACACCCCAGCCACTGTCAGAGCCGGTCAGTAGACTGGAGTGGGAAATGGGCGCGGTGGCTGACATGGTCGACGGATCATGACTGCGCGCGCCACGGCACGACCTGGCCCCCCATACACACAAACACCAGGATTTCACACAACGGGGGTTGAACGGCGTGTTTCTCACTTGCGTGAGAGTGCCGTGGAAGGTGCTGCTTCAGCCCGTCCCCAGCCCACCAGTCCGCCACTACACACAACACACACACACACAACGTGACGAACTGCGTGAACCGAGAGCGGGCCTCAATCATTAACCTTCCTATCCACGACACTTGAAGTGCCGGGACAGTCTCAGACTCAAGTCACCCGTGCAGCCGAAGCCGCATGGGGACCGAGTCGAGATGCACACTTCCCACTTGCGTGGGAGGTGGCAGTTGAGTGCATGAGGTGTGTGGGGGTTGATGTCTGGTGAGGTGATGGTGTTAGGAGGTAGGGAGTGGGGGAATGTGTGGTGTGACCGGCGGTTGTCTACCGCAGGTCGTTGTGGATGCGCATGTGGCCGAATAGACCCATGCGATGCGTGAAGGTGCGAGGGCAGTGCGGGCAGTGGAGGCGAGTGCGGTGGGTGTAGGTTGGTGCTCCAGGCACTGGTTCGCCAGTCTCTGTGCGATGGATTCGCAAGTGACCGGCCAGGCCGATGCGTGAGGTGAAGGTGCGTGGACAATTTGGGCATGAAAGGTCGGCGATGTCGGTGTCAGCTGTAGAGGAAGCAGTGGTGTTGGTGGTGGTGGCGGTGGTGGTGGTCGGCACGTGTGACGGTGGAGTGAGGATGGGTCTGGGCGTGGTGGATGTGTTGGATGTCGTGGCTGTATCGGAATTGTGGTCAATTCCGCTCTCGTGGATGCGCATGTGGCCGAATAGACCCATGCGATGCGTGAAGGTGCGAGGGCAGTGTGGGCAGTGGAGGCGAGTGCGGTGAGTGTAGGTTGGTGCTCCAGGCACTGGTTCGCCGGTCTCTGTGCGATGGATTCGCAAGTGACCGACCAGGCCGATGCGTGAGGTGAAGGTGCGATCGCAGGGAGGGCAGATATAGCCCTGGCCCTCACGTCTGATGATGGAGGTTGCAGGGGTTGTGCCTGTTGTTGTGTCAGGTGCGGCTGTGGTGAAGTCATGCGCTACAGACGCCAGAGTGGCCGTCGTTGTGGCAGTGAAGGAGGAAGAGGAGGAGAAAGGGTAGGAGTGAGGGGTGGTAAGATCGGTGGCGTCGATGTCGGCTGGGGAGTGGTTAGTGGGTGCACAAGGTGATGGATTGGGAGTGGGGCTCGGCGGGGTGGGTGTGTCAAGGCGGCGGTCAATTCCGCTCTCGTGGATGCGCATGTGGCCGAAAAGGCCCATGCGATGCCTGAAGGTGCGAGGGCAGTGTGGGCAGTGGAGGCGAGTGCGGTGAGTGTAGGTCGGTGCTCCAGGCACTGGTTCGCCAGTCTCTGTACGATGGATTCGCAAGTGACCGACCAGGCCGATGTGTGAGGTGAAGGTGCGGTCGCAGTGAGGGCAGGTGTAGTCCTGATCCTCATCACTGGAATCGGGAGAGGTGGGGGTGGTGGCGGTTATTGTGTCGGGGTTGGCGATGTGTGAGACGGCAGCCTGAACGGCCACCGCTGGGGCAGTGGAGGAGAAGGAGGAGGATGGAAGTGGTGGTGCAGAAGGAGTGTCAGAGTTAGTTGGCGGAAGAGAGGACGAGGAAGAGGCGGGCGCGGGGACGATGGCTGGAGCAGTTCGAGAGGTGCAGTTGGTTCGAAGATGTCCAACAAGTCCGATTCGTGCCCGGAATGTCCGTTGACATCGAGGACACGTAGGGAGCGGTTGTGCGGCGGCGTTGCGGACTGGGCGAAGTTGTGATTTGCGGGCTTCGCGTTTCACTTTGGCGGCGGCGATGCGGTTGGCTTCATAGATAGCAGCGCCCGTCTTCACTGTTCTCCTCCATGTCGGGCGATCGCGAGCGAGTGCTTCCCAGTTGGTCGGGTTGATTTGCAGGCGCTTCAGGGAGGACTTCAGGGTATCCTTGTAACTGCGAATCTGGCCTCCTTGACGACGAGAACCCGTCGCGACGTCTCCGTGGAAGAGTCGTTTGGGTAGTCGCTCGTCGTCCATGCGCACCAGATGGCCGCTCCAGCGCAGCTGCATTTGTCTCAGCGTGGAGTAGATGCTCAGAATTCCCGTCCGTCCCAGCACTTCGGTGTCGGGGATGCGGTCCTGCCAGTTCAGCCTCAGGACGCGGCGGAGACAGCTGAGGTGGAAGTGGTTTAGTCGTGTACACCGTACACTCCGTACAGTAGCGTCGGCATGATGACGGCCTTGTACATCTTCAGCTTTGTGCTCAGTTGGAGACCATGACGATTCCAAACTGTGCTTTGGAGGCGAGCGAAGGCTTGACTGGCTTTCGAGATTCTGTTGGAGACTTCGTCATCGATCTTGGTGTTGCGGGAGAGCGTGCTGCCCAGGTACGGGAAGTTCTCTACCACTTGCAGTAGAGTCCCATTCACGTTGATTTGCGGCGCGTTGGGGGCTGTGGCTGATTTGGGAGGCGGCTGATACATCACCACCGTCTTCTGCGTGTTGATAACCAGCCCAAAACTCTCGCAGGCGGCGGAGAATAGGTCCATGCTCCGTTGCATCTCCACTTCTGAGGTGGTGTTCAGGGCGCAGTCGTCGGCGAAGAGGAGTTCGTGCACGGTGGCTGTGGATACACGCGATTGGAAGTTCATGCGCCGACGATTCAGGAGATGACCGTACGTTCTATAGGCGATGCGGATTCCAGGGCGTTCGTCGCGGTAGGCGTCCATCAGCATGGCAGAGAACATGAGACTGAAGAGGGTGGGCGCCAGCACACAGCCCTGCTTCACTCCGTTGGTCACTGCGAATGCCTCTGAGACAGCTCCGTTGTCCGTGACTCGCGCCATCATACCGTCGTGCAGCCGACGCACCATCTGAGTGAATCGCTCCGGACAGCCGAATTTCAGCATAATCTTCCACAGTCCTTCACGATTCACCGTGTCGAAGGCTTTCGTCAGGTCCACGAAGGTAGAGTACAGGTGGGTCTGCATCTCCTGGCACTTCTCCTGAAGTTGGCGGGCTGCGAAGATCATCTCCGTGGTCCCACGATGACGACAGAAGCCGCATTGGCTTTCCGGCAGAAGGTCCTGTTCCAGATGGTTGTTGAGGCGGTTGAGAAGGACGCGAGCGAAGATCTTCCCGCCGATGTTCAGTAGGGAGATGCCGCGGTGGTTGTCGCAGACTTGGCGATTCCCTTTTCGCTTGTATAGGTGCACGATAGTTGCGTCCTTGAAATCTTGCGGGACTTCACCTTGACGCCACATCTCCTGGAAGAGCGCAGTCAGGTGATCCATCAGTAGGGGACCTCCGTGCTTGTAGACCTCAGCAGGGAATGCGTCCGATCCGGGTGCTTTCCCGCTGGAGAGCTGCTGCACGGCCCTGATCGTTTCCTGGAGAGATGGCGGGAGGTCGAGGTCCGCTTTGGTCGCCACTTGCGGCAAGCGGGCGATGGCGGCGTCGGAGATGACGGATTTGCGTCTTCTCAGTCAGGAGAGTGCTGCCGTCGGCGCTGAGGAGAGGAGCAGTGCCCTTCGTCGGCGGACCGTAGACAGCTTTGATCGCGGAGAAGAAGTTCTTCCATTCGTTGCGGTCCGCGTACCCTTGGATCTCCTCAGCTTTGCGAGCAGTCCAGGCGTCCTGCATCTCGCGCAGTCATTGCTGAAGCTGTCGGCGACTGCGGTAGAAGGCAGCTTTCTTGTCCTCAGTGGGGTGATCTACGTATGCTTTGTGGAGGCGGTTCTTCTCAGCAAGCAGATTTCTGATGGCGGCGTCGTTGTCGTTGAACCAGTCCTGGTGTTGGCGGGGAGCGCGACCGAGGACGGCGAGCGCCGTCGACTGGACTGTGTCACGCAGTTGACACCAGCGGTTCTCCACGGAGGCGTTCTCGGCAGCGGCGGCGGCGGCGGCAGCGATATGAAGGTTGTCTAGCCGTTGAGCTAGCTCATTGCTGAAATGGAGACGGTGAGCAGGCAAAGACAACAAAGCAACATTCAGCTTACCTGGGGGTCGCTTACCTTGTGGTCTCCTGCGAGGCTGTAGGCGAATACGCATCTTCGAGATGACGAGGCGATGGTCGGTCCACCCGTCAGCACCCGCGATCGCCTTCGTCACCAGCACGTCCCGCTGATCTCGCCTCCGGACGAGGACATAGTCCAGCAGGTGCCACTGACGCGACCGAGGATGCCTCCAGGTGGCCTTCTCTCGCACCGGCAGACAAAAGAAGGTATTCGTCAGGGTGAGGCGGTGTTCTGCGCAGGGGCGGAGGAGAAGCAGGCCGTTGTCGTTGGAGCCGCGGAGACCGTGGGGACCCAGCACTCCCCTCCAGGCAGTATGGTCTTTGCCGACGCGGGCGTTGAAGTCACCAAGGACAATCAACTTGTCCGCCTTCGACACAGTCGCCAAGAGGGCGTGCAGGTCCTCGTAGAATTTGTCTCTGACGGCGTCGGGGTTGGTCATCGTCGGAGCGTAGGCGCTGATGATGGTGGCGAATTTGCCTCCCCAGAGAGGCAGGCGGAGGCTCATCAGGCGATCGTTGATGCCCTGCGGCAAACAGGGTAGTCGTCCCACGATGTCGGTTCGGATGGCGAAGGCGACGCCCGCGTCTCGTCGCTCTGCCCTGGGTCGACCACTCCAGAAGAAGGTGTAGCCGGCACCCACCTCCTCCAGTTGGCCTTGTTCGGAGAATCGGGTCTCGCTGAGTGCGGCGATGTCCACCTTGTAGCGCGCCAGTTCTCGTGCCACTAGCGTAGTCCTCCGTTCCGGTCGGTTGCTCCTCGGATTGTCTAAAAGGGAACGAACATTCCAGGCTGCCAGAGTGAGCGGGCTCACCCTGTCAGTCTTGGGAAAACGAGTGGGGCGATGGGAATGAGGTGGAGAAGAAGATGACGAAGGAGAAGAATAGGCAGAAGAATAGACGGAGGTAGAGGTAGAAGAGTTAGGATGAGGAGAATGAGTATGGTTGTTGTTTTTGTTTCGACCGTGAATTTTGCGTCTGCGACCACGGTGCGCCAGCAGACGTCGTGGCTCCCCAGCAATCTTTAGGCCAGCTTTTGCAGGCCCCCCCGAAGGAAGCAGTGCCCTGACCCCTGAATAGGTGCTGCTTGATGTGCCGGCGCGGCCGAACTCCACTGTGGGCCACGAGTTTTTTTGGCAGTGGAAGAACGACTCGAATTTGCCAATGGCTTACGGCATTGCCGCAAGCCTGCGGTCTCCTCCGGTGCACCAGATGGGCGCGTGTCGACGGTGCCAATTCGGAGATCCATCCCACCGTCTGATCAACGGCGTACCAGGCGGAGCCTCGTCTGGACGATGCAGATGCGACGTTCCACCACCAACCGGTTGACCAGCGGTGTGTCAGACAGAGCCTCGTCACGACGGCGCCGACGCGGTGTTCCATCCGACCAACCGTCCACGGAGTCCGCAGTCACCTGTGCACGCGGCACAACGCGCGCAGGGAGTAACCGCCCTCACCTGGTTTAGCCCGCCGGTCGAGGCGGTTGCCCGGGGTGTGGCCGCTGAGCAGAGCCCAGCTACGTGGAGCCACAGGTGAGAGTTCAGTGCCAGCAAGTGGACGCTAGGCGTAGTCTCACCTGCAAGCAAATGAGCGACCACTACGACCTTCACCTGAACCCACCGCTGACACCCCTACCGATGTTGGAGATGCAGTAGCTGTGTTACCTCATGAAACGCAGACCGAAAAACTGAAATATGTCTTCAGTTAGGAAAATTACATAAGTAGGATTTAGTATGCGGGTACGAATGGCGTAGCCGGCAGCCTCATGGGCTTTAGTGTGACCCAAAAACCGGAGGCACATATCGGGCATAAAGAAATGCGACCGAAGTTGTCTTTTTAAGTAAGAAAAAATTATTTGATTGAACTTCGAAGATGGTATACACACAGATAATTTGAGGGAATTTACCCGGGAATATCTGATTTTGTTGACCAAGTTAGCAGCAGATTTAACAGTGAATCCCTTTGAAGGATTTATTTTTTTGTGAGTAATATGTAGAATTAGTAAGAAAACGAAATGTCTTTTAGTCATCTGGGGGTTTAGAGACCCCGTGCTTGCAGAGGTCCGGTTCCGAGTCGCCGTCGTCGTCGTCGCCCAACTTCCTCACTATGAACAAGTACGCGCAACTTTACACCGTCTAGACGGATGGTCCAGACCTCCCGTTTGAACGATGGCCAGGAAGCTGTGATACGCCCTCCATGAAGCCTGCCACATGTGGAGAGTAGGAAAACAGGGTCACGTCTGCAATCCTTCGAAGGTCATCGTTATTTTTCAAGCGAGATGAAGTTCTGCGTGTGTGCTAACCTGACATCCGGTCAGTGTGAACGGAAATCGGTATGCCGAATCTGTAGATGCCGATTTCCCCGGCACCTCGAGTGGGGTAAGCAAACCCCCAGAGGACTACGAAACCATTTCGTTTTTTACAAATTCTGCACGGTAGCAGTATGGACAAGAAAATACATTTTAGAAAGGAATCCATTTTAAATCTGTTGTTAGCTTGAACAACAAAATCGGATATTTCCAAATTACTACTCTCTAATCCTCTGTATGCATACTTTCTCCGTGGTTCGACCAGAATGTATCATCGAGCCGCATTTCTTAATGCCTGATAAAGGCCGCCGGTTTTGGGGTCGCTCCAAAACCCATCAGGGCATAGTTATTCGGCTGCCGGATTTCGAGGCCTAACTGACGACGCAGGACAACGCCCGCCAAAATCTGGGGGCCGCATCGGTAGAAGTCGAGTTCTTCGGCACCTCGAGTGCCTGCTCCCATCCCAGACAGCCGTTCGGTTGAAAATGAGAAAAAGCAGAAGAATTTTTAATCCGGACGAAAGATATACATATATTCAGCGTAATCTGAAAATGAGATTGTGGAGGAAGAAGATGAAGTATTGAGAAGAATATTTGCTGCTGACGCAGACTGATTGACTGGTCTGCAGAATCGGATCGGAACCGTGCTCCGAAACTGACAGGCTGAGATCGTCAGTGTAATTCATAGAGCTTCATAAGACCATGTCTTTGACTGTATTCTCCTTAACTCGACCACAATCTGTGAAGCAGGAAAATGCTTATATGAATTTGAGGGGGAAATTTATTGATATTTAAAAGCAATAACTTTAGAAAATTACGATTCAATCGCGACAGTTAAAGTCTTGCTCTAATGCTATCCACTATCACCTTCAAATCAGGTCCGAAATGAGAAGAGGTGTACAAAAAGTGTGTTCTGTAGAGAGTGGAGAAAGAATGTGTTTGCGCAAACTGATAGACGGAGAAGAGCAGAACGTCTAGATCCGCCGGCACAGCCGACCAAATGCCTTACGTGAGCACTTTTACGCCTCAGCCTTGAATTTGATTGGCCCCTTCGACCAAAAAGCGCACAGAAGCCGACGTTGGAGATAAAGTAGATTTGCTAAATGTTATCCGAAAAGATTACTTAAGTACATTTGCCATGTTCATTCAGCTATGTTTTCAAGGCGACATGCACGAAATATCTTTACTTTTACTCATTTTGTGGAAACTTAGATGGGCTCACCGGAATGGGCGTTGAGCGCACATATGACAAAGTAAACACTTGATGCAAAAGGCTGAATCATTAATGTCCTCAAAGTAACTGTCGGTCTCTGTAATGCTGCGTCTTTCTGATAAGAAGACAAAAGTGACACGATGCTGAAACACTGAGAGAAAAACTGGAGGCAATGAATGAACGTGGAGAGAATGGATTGAAAAGAATTGACGCAGTGATTGCTTGACATCAAAATCTTCTTTCTGTGGAGGACGTTCGCCATACCGATGAAAGAGACATGACTGGACAATTAGTTCGCTGCAAATAGGTAAAAAGTCACTTGTATAAACTCGATGAACTCAAGATCATCCTAGCCTAAATACGTTCTGCTGTTACTGAATCAAATGAAAGATAACTTACTCTAGATGGGGAAAGATCCTGAAATACAAAGACACGGTAAGCAACTGCCAAAACGACATCAGACCAAAAGAAGAGATGGCGGAATTGTTCCACACGCACCAGTAGCGCAGTGGAATACATGTTTTGTTGAAGAACTTTGCAAATTATCATGACTTGGACATGCTGCAGTGTGTTCTTTTGGTTCCTAAGGCAGAAAATGCTACTGCGACTGTCGTCTGCAGGCTTTCAAAGTAACCTGCAGAAGAAGATCCAGCGTTGGTCGTTCAACTGCGCAAGGACAGGCGGAGAAAAAATATGATTATTACATGAGATTTCAATGCTCCCCTTGTAAACTGCAACCTCACGGCCGCTAAGCGTCCTTGGCAAGGATCCAGCTGAATGCTATCGAAAGTGGCACTCGGCGAAAGTGTTTATGAAAGAGCTTTAGGTCCGCCTTTAAGCTCTTGTGATCGCACAACATTTATGTGCTGTTTCCGAACGACGTTCCAAGTTTTGAAGAAAACGATGGGTACGCCGAAACGGTTTCATTTAGGTGCTGATGTTTCAAAGAGCTTGGTCGGTTCCACATTGCTAAAGCGTAAAATCCACTTAATCGACCAGAAAGTTCCATTGGCATGTCGCGTAGGTCGGCCTCATGCTGATCGTTTTTTCTCTTCTCTCGCTGTCTTGGCCTCTTGGAGGATTGTTGGCGAGCGTTTTGTCTGCGTGTTTTTGGAGTCATCACCTCGCCGGGGGAAGATGGATGAACATTTGTCGGGTGGTCAGTCTGGTGGTTCTTCTTCCTCGCTACTTAAAAGTCGTTAAGTATTTTTAAATTGTTAAAATCATCGAAATATACAATTTGTCCAGACCATGGAATAGCCAAATACACACTCTCGCATCAGCACGTTTATTAATGCTACTTATACATTGGATAAGTATTTGTAAATTGTCAAAATGTGTCCAATTATATGAATTTTCCAGACCATTGAATATCCGATCGGACACTCTCGCATCAGCGAATTTAAAAATGCCACTTATAAAATGAATAAGTATTTTTAAATTGTTAAAATGTGTCAAAACGTCTGATTTATCCAGACCAAGGAATATCTAAGTAGACACTATCGCATCAGCACCTTTATTAATGCTAATTAGAAAGTGGTTAATTTATGCTAACATTCTTAAATGTGTATAATTATATGATTTGTCCAGACCAGGGTATATCTAGTTAGACACACTCGCATGGGCGCGCCAAGTAACGTTACTTACAAAGTGGATAACCATTTTTATCTTCCTATGAAGTGTTGATTCATATTATTTGTCCGGACGATACATTATCCGATCGGACACTCACGCATCACCGCGTTTAATAATGCTACTTATAAAATCGATTAAGATATTTAAATTGTTGTTATTATCGAATTATATGTCTTGTCCAGACCGCGATATATCCAATTGGACACCCTCGCATCAGCACGTTTATTAATCTTTCGAATAAGGTGGATAAGTATTTTTAATTAGTTTAATAGTATCGAAATATATGATTTGTCCAGACCGTGAAATTTCCAATCGGACACTCTCGCATCAGCACGTTTATTAATCCTTCGAATAAGGTGGATAAGTACATTTAGTTTGTCGAATAGTATCGAAATATATGATTTGTCCAGACCGTGAAATTTCCAATCGGACACTCTCGCATCAGCACGTTTGTGAATGCTTCTTTTAAAGTGGATAAATACTTTTAAATTGATAAAATTGGTCGAAATATATGGTTTGTCCAGGCCACAGAACATCTAATCGGACACTAGCATTAGCACGTATTCTAATGCTTATTGTACAGTCGATACGTTTTTTTAAATTGTTAAAAAGTATCGAATTACATGATTCCCCAGACCATGGAATATCCAGTTAGACACTTTCGCATGAGTACGTTTATAAATATTACCTATAAAGCGGATAAGTATTTTAAAATTGCTAAATAGTGTCGAAATGTATTATTTGTCCAGATCATGCTATATCCAATCCCGCACTCGCGCATCAGTGCATTAAATAATTAAACTTGTAAAGTGGATGATTTTTTTGAAATTGTTAAATTGTCGAATTATAAGATTTCTCCAGACCGTAAAATATCTAATCAGACACTTTCGCATAAGCACACTTACTAATGCTTTTTATAAAGTGAATAAGTAATTTTAAATTGTTAAAAAGTGTCGAATTATATGATTTGTCCAGACCATGGAATATCCGACCACACACTCTCGAATCATCACGCTTATTAATGCTACTCATAAAGTCGATACGTATTTATAATTTGTTAAACAGTTACGAATTACATTATTAGTCCAGACCATTGGATATCCAATCCGACCCTCTCGCATCAGCACGTTAATATTGCTACGTATAAAGTGGAAAAGTATATTGCAATTTTTAAATAGAGTTGAACTTTATGATTTGTTCCAGACCATGGAATATCCAAACGGACAAT